AATTCTTTACGAGGCGGGCAGGGTGCGCGAAATCGAAAAGCATAGAAGAGAGAGAGAGAGAGAGTATATAGGTGTGCTCGATCGATCATCGATGACGACATACGTCCCTCTCTCGCGAGTCTCCGTTTGTTCTTCACTCCCAGCCGACGATGGCCACCGCTGGTGACCCTTTGTACTCCCTGTAGGTATGATTCTGTTGAGCACTCGCGCACCTGTTAATAACACCTCGTTTTCTGTGTGTTTCACCCGTGCAAAAGAGCACGAGAGATGGATACCGTGGCTTTTATGTTGTTGTCAAGGCAGGCAGCTTGAGATAAATCGTACGGCTAATTGTATCGTGGCGTGCCCCTCCCCCCCCCTCCTCTCGAGGCGTGACTCTCTAGGAGCTTGGCTCGCGACGGGGAGCTCGCTTCCATCTGTTTTATTTACCACGTAATTAATGAACCAGCCTCGAGTCGCGCCCTTCGCCCCTGCCTTGGCTATGTACATCTGCTTGAACCGACGCAACCTCGGCTCGGAGCCATCGGCAGCTTTTTCTCCCATTCGCGCGTTCATCGCAGAGCACGTACCTGCACCGAGAGGTCGGTACGTTTTGCCACTGCAATTACTCGGTACGCGTATACTTTTATTTGCTAAATCCTTCGTTAAGTATAAACTATCTGTGTTTTCGGGGATCCCTCCTTCTCTCGGCCAAGTTTATCGTATGACTTGTTAAAGCCAGTGTTTTTTTAATTGATTTTTCAAAACGACATTGCAATGTTTCATTCGGCAAATAAAAGGGGTTTAAAAAATTGTTAAAAAAAGGGTAGTGACAACGGTGTCGTAAGTCGGGTATAACGATAGAGGGCTCGGGAGAAGTCAAAGAAGTAACCGAGGCGTTGTTTTTTTTTTTTCTTCTTCTTCTGTGCTCTGCGACGTCTTGGTCTAAAATAACGAGCAAAAATGCGAGTCTGGCAGAAAAAAGCGCAAAGGTACGCACATACACGTACACCAACGAGGGGGGAGAAAAAAAAAAAAAAAAAAAAAACTGAGAGAACTGGGGACTTGCGCGACTGCACGCTTTTACCGAAAGGATGCAAAGTTTTAATGCTCCTCCTGCGGGTCTCCCCTTTTTTTCCCCGTGCCAAAAAGCTCGGCGGCACCAGCGCCCGCGAAAAGGCAAAAGGAAAGACACACCGCTTGCCTGCCTGATGCCGTGCCCGCTTGGATTATTCGTCACTTTTGTGACGATGGCTCGCACGTGCGCCAACCTCGCGCCCAAAGTTCCACCATCAGAGGTATATATATATATATATATTTTGGTATACTTATTCCCACCATTGCTGCGTGCATCGAGCGTATATACCAGGTAGCCATAATTCGTCCGATCAACCGAAAGTTGTCCAACGTTGGAATAATCGATACCCGGGATAAAGAGAGACACACCGTAGGTATACGAGTGGGTGTATATGCCCAAACGTGTAGGTATACCGTATGTTTCACTCTCGAGAGCTAAACATGCTCGCGGAGCTTATTCGCGTCTCCAGTTGGCCATAGGCAGGTATACTATACACGTGTACGCCGCACCGTTTGCACAATCGTGGGCGCTCGCAACTCGTCCGAGTATATCTCCCCGACCATGTCTCTCGTTTGATCAATCAGGCTTCGATGTATACGTGTAGGTGTACTTCCTCGGGCCGTGATCGCGCAATTTGCCTTTCGCGCGTGTGTGTGTGTNATAAGAAAACTTTTTATCACTCGATTCAAAAATTGTAATTTCTAAGTTTAGAAAAAATTTTCCTTAGAGCTTATTATTGTTTTAGTATATTTTCTTATTCTCATAGTTAACAAATAGTTATGTTAGGAAATATTAAGGGGATATGAGCCTTTATAACCTTAATAACCCGAACAACTGAGTTACAGCGCTGTTCATCAAATGAAACTGACTGTCAGTTACAAAAAGTCGGTAGTTGTAATTGTGTCATATACTTTCTTCATGATTTAGGGCTTTCAAAATTGTAAATCTTGTTAGTATACTTATAAACTACATAAAAACAAAAGCTGGTCGGGTACGTGATTAAAGTTTTTTTTTTTTTATACATAAAAAAGCACAAAAATTTTCTTACAATTCATTAAAAATTAGTTCTTCGACGTAGAAATAAGATACTATTTTTGTTTCTAATATTTTCATTTATACTAACTTATGCTTAAGCGATTAAAACTGTATTAGAGGTGCTGGGCCAAAAAAAAAAATGCAATGGGCGAGCGCTCGGAACTTCAGACTCATGATTTTATTTTTGAAGCCCTTTCTTTGGTACCGAGATTTTTCCAGACCAGTAGTGAGTCTTATAGAAGCTTCTAATCACCACTACTCTTCTGACTTTGCTTTGGAAGCTATCTTTAGTCAGAAAAGGATTGATAAAAGTATACCTTATATCCTGTGCTTCTAGAAGTTTAATTAACACCAAAACAAGATGTACCACTCCCAAAAAGAAATGACTTTCCATGGTATTCGCTATTACCCACTTTAAATCCTATATACATGGACAAAAATTAACTTTAGGTTGCGTTCGAATAAATTGTATTTGTATCCCGATTGTATCCCAATCCTATCCCAATCCTATGCTGGCGTAGTAGTCTGGAATACGATTTGGATACGATCGAGATACAGATACGATTTATTCGAACGCAACGTTACTAACGGACCAAAAACCTCTTGTTTAATTATTTACCTTTGGTAACTTTGATTAGTTACGGGAATGTAATAATGACGTCATTTGTAAAGAAAAAATAACCTCAAACGCCAACGTGCTCTTCTAGAATCTGATTCCCTTGTGCATGCTAATGGATTCAAAAAATATTGAAACTAAAATATACTTATTCCCACCATTGCTGCCAGCAGCTCTCGGGGACTTTTATTCACCGAGCCGAGACACACCGGATGCTGCGCTTTCACGTCAGCTTGCTCCCCCCCCCCCCACAGATACCGTATACATATATGCTTAGACACTTGATCTCTATATCATATACATACACAACCCTGCACTGCTGCAATGACGGTCAAAATCAAGCTTGGAGTTTCAAGTCTGGAAAAATGCGTCCTTGCACGTTGTTGGAAGAGGGGGGGGGGGAAGGTTACGAAGCTTTCCAAAACTACCTGTTGGGTATACTTGTACGGGATGCAGTAAATTGAAATAGATGCAATACCACGGTTCACCGAAATGGTAAGAGGTTTGAATCAATTTCGGCTCTCTTCGTTACGTCGCGGCCATGTGGATCACTTCCTGCATCAACTCGTCTTCGGATGGACGGGGAAGCAAACAGAGCGACAATAATCAGTCTCCAGACGGCAAAAACAGTAGATAGCTCGCGTACGCACGCGTGTACATGTGCGGGTATCCCCCTCGGGGAGGAAATTCCATTACAGGTTGACGGGCGGAGGGAAGACAGCAACTGTTATTTCTTCCTCGCTGTTGTTGTACCTACGTGTTCGGTGATTGCTTGTGTAAGAGCCATCCGAAAAGCGCATAGCGCCGCTCAGCTTCGTACCACGAACAGTTCCATAGGGTTATTTTTCGCTCCTCGGAATGCGTATAATATAGCCTTACCATGCGTTTCACGTGTGTACGCGTTACGTACAGAATAGGGTGATGGGCATAATGAAAGGCACGAGTAAGTACAGCAATATATAGTATAGATGCAAGCAAAGGTATTAAGTACAGAGTTTTGGCAGTATAGTAGTGGACACTCTTAGCTGACCGGAAGACCGATCCGTGGGTCAAAGTTCGCGGGGCTCGTATAAGCCGAGTCAATTAATGCCCCCGGCTCTGCCAATTCCGGCCATTTGTACGTACATACCTATATAGATTTTTTTTTTTTTTTTTTATATATTATAGTGCTCTACGTCCGGCTCCTTTTAATAAGCGCACTACTATGGGCACTTAGCACTTAGGAAAGGGACAAGGAAAGGGATGGGAGGACCCCCATTACTGGCAGGGGGGGGTTGGGGGAAATTAGGAAATCTTTGCTGCGAGGAGGTCGCCTAAACCCTCCTCGAGGAGCATTGCGTGGTGAAAAAGCACATGTGAACAATCACAGAGGTACTTGCCCGAAAAAGTCGCACTATGGCCGGGAATTGAACCACGGTCTCCCGCGTGCCAATCCACGACCTAGCCGACCGAGCCACCGCGCGCTCCACATATATAGATATACGAGCTGGTTTGGTTTACCACCCTCCCCACACCCTTTTTCTCTCTTCTTCTTCTTCTTCTTCTTCTTTGTAATCGCGTGTGTAAATTAGTTTCAGGATACACCGGCTCCCGGGCTCTGTGTACTTACTGCAGTTACGTCAAGTTTTTTCTCTTTCGGCAGCTAATACGCTTAGGACTAACGAGAACAGCAACAACGGAAAAAAGGGGGGTTGGGGGATACAAAAAAGGGGCAAGACAAAGGGATGGGGGAGGGGGAAAAAAAAATATTGACCCGCAGCTGGAGGAACTTTTTCAAATGGAGTGTACCTACTTTCGGTTGGGATGCTCCGGGTCGCTCCGACGTCAAAAGTTTGTGTTATTTTTGCGTGTTGGCGTTGAAGCCCTGTTATTTGGGGCCGCTCCCGCTGCTGCTACTGATACAACCACCGTCCTTTTAGACCTTTTTTTTTTTCCTATTTCAACCACCGCTCGACGTTTAATTAAACTTGAGAAAAATATATAGTCCGGCGTAACTGCGACCCCTTTTTCACAGTTGAATTCATTAAAATAGAAGAAGGATTCTTTTTCCAACCTTTTGTATTTTTCATTAGAGGGCCTCAAAACTTTTCTACTCGTCTCACAAATCATTGTCGCCGAGAATGGATTGCCGTACGATTAGAAAAAAAAAAAAAAAACACGATACGCATATATAGGTAAACTGTTTAAGTAGAACAAAGCCGATTTGGTCAGACATTGAGAGAAAAAGATCTCATCCATTCTATTATCTTTTAAATGGCACTAAGTTTGTCGTTGTTCTTGTACATGTTGCAGCACCACCGCAGTCGGTTGAGATCGTAGGCCACAAGGATCCCTCGAAAATCGAGATCAAGCAGAACGAGTCGCTGAAGCTGGAGTGCATTATCCGCATGGCCAAACCAGCCGCCACCATAGTCTGGTACCGCGGCAACGTCCAGATCAAGGGTGGCGACATCAGCATCACGCCCGTACCCGTACCCGATGGTTCGTATACATATACTACATTTTTTTTTTTTTTCACACCTCAGTGGTTTTCAACGAACTTTGCAAGAGCTTATGAACCAGACGGATGCGTCGAAAGATAGGGGTTTCATTTCAATTTTGTACACTGCACTCACTGCATCTTCGTCGGTAAATGTTTTGATGAAATGCGACCTCCGTCGGACGTCGTACATCGCGGGGATGGAAACTTTGTGGGTGTAGCGCCGGTGCGGGGTACAAATTTGACGGCTAAATTTTCACGGATTGGGTGGATAAAAAATGAAAAAGCAAAGGAAAAACAAGAATTTGCGTGACTTTGGAGCCGGATGGGGAAAAGCGGTTCAGCTGGAAGATGCAAAAAGCCTATGGTCTCCTGCGCAACGGTAGCGGGGATGTTAACCGCAGAAAAAGGAAAAAAAAAAAAAAAAAACAAGCGAGAGCAGAGAAAAGGCAAGAGGGAGCCTCGTTGATTTTGGGAAGTTGGAAGCTCGCCAGAGTTATGTACCGACCAATTGACCAAGAACACGAAGAAAAAGTGCATACTCCCTTTTACGCTCCTCCACCCCCCCCCCCCGCCGCGCTATATCCCATTTCCTTTCCCGTCTCTCTATCTTCTTTTGCGCCTTTTTTCCGGCTCCCGGGTTCTCCTTTTTCAAGGGCTTTCTGAATTTTCGCTTTTATTCCGATGCCATTCTTCGCCCGGGTCGCAGGGAAGCGCCGTGACATCCATCAGCATTTTTCATAAGAATCTTTTACCGCTTAGCCATTGTATTCTTTCGAACATAAAAGCTGATTTTGCTTATTTTAGTTGGAAATTTTATTTACAAAGTTAACTTGGGTTTCGTCTCGTGAATGGAGACTGGTAAGGAGCTTTACCCATTTTGCAGGATTTTTTCGCTATTACGTAGGAGCACCGTCACGGAAATTTTTAATATCCTTCCTTTCGACTAAATTGAAAATTTCATTCAATTACTCCTCTGGAACTTTTTCACCTAACCGAGTTAAACACGTACACTTGGGCGATTACAAAATTTTAGCTGTTTAACGATTCAGAAAATATTTTTCAAGCATGTAAAATTATGATGTTATGATTAAATCAATAGCGAGCGAGTATTTTAAATTAAAAAAGTTCGAGCCCGGTTTACATCACGAATGAAATTATTTTTCCCGGGAGCATCTGCAAATGAAAAGGTTAAAGGGTCCCACAGCGTCGGAAATTGGACGAATTTCGACGTAAAATGCAACATCGCGCGGATGTATATCTGGGGTGAAAACTCTCCTAGAGTGTGGGACGAAATGTGCGAAAAACTTAATTTGCTCGGGTAAGCGTCGCGAGTAAAAACATACCTACCCACACTCGAAAAATGTCCCGAACTTGAAAACTTTCTCATGCACGAAAGGGGACACGCGGCACTCCTATACCTTTCCGATTTTCATGCACGGAGAATTCTGTATTTTTTTTTTTTTTTTTTTTTTCGTAAAAGCCCGCAAGCTCGCACGGTGGCGTCTTACAGCTTGAACTTGGCGAGCGAAAGAGAGGAAAAATAAAGAAAAGAGCAAGCACTCGGAGAGCGGGAAAACAGTGCTGTATGTACCCTGCAAAAGCAGTTGCAGCACGGACTACGTGAAAACGAACCGAAACTGCCCTGCGGCGAGGGCAAAGAGAGAGAGAGAGAGACATTCTAGCGAGCTTTTAGTTTGCACACTCAAGTGGACTACAGGCATAGCAACTGCAGTACTAACAGTAGCGGGAGCAGCGCACAACTGTTTTCGCCGCCGGCTACCGGGCCAAGTTTTCGCGCTTCCAGATGTCGAGACCTACACCTTGGGCATGTATGTATATGTATTACTCGCAGGGCCGTGGTTGCCACGCGGCAGACGACGTGAAAAATGCGTTCAAAGGCAAATGCGTGCGCGCGTGTGTACTTACCGCGCAAAACTGGTCTAGCCGGGATAGTCAAGTGTACGAACGGAATTAAGAGCTCTTCTACTTGCATGCGATTTTCCCGGGATTACATACGTGTGGGACACTTTTTTTTTTTTTTTTTTTTTTTTGACGAGACGGCTACATTGCGAATGTCCCACTTTACCCGAGGACAAAAGTATACTTGAGGGCGATGAAAATATACAACCTCGTTGTTGCAGACAAGGACATGGTGAAGGCGCTGGACCACAAGAGCGGCAAGCTCGAAAAGTACGACACGTACGGCTCGATCAGCATCATGCCGACGCCCGACGACGACGAGACGAGCTATACCTGCGAGGCCAGGCACTCGGCCATCCCGATCGAGAGGCCCATGCGCGCCGTCGCCACGCTATCAGTTTTCTGTGAGTACACACCACTTACATGGTAACATCCGAATGATTTTTTTTTTTTACTGTACGTAGCGTAATTTGTTACTCGATAATTGGCATCACAATCTTGGGGAAAACTTGATTTTTTTCGCGAATAGCATTTTCGTCCATATACCACCTAATATACTTTAGTAACCACCCATAATTTCTTAATGGAAACATTTTATACCTTTTTCCATCGAATCTGGGGCTTTAGATCCTCCGGGGCCTCCTTTCATCGAGGGTTACGTGGACGGGGAGGCACTCGGGCGGGGCCAACAGGTCGAGCTGACCTGCAAGTCCCGGGGCGGCAATCCACCGGCTCAGGTGATATGGTTCAAGAACGGCCAGAACGTGCACTCGGTGTACTCGACCGAGGGCCGCATCTCGAAGAACGTGCACTCGTTCCTTGCCCAGGCGAGCGACGACAAGGCCAGGTTCGAGTGCAAGGTCAACAACGTCATGAACCTCACCCCCATGACGGCCCACGTCGACCTTAGCGTGCTCTGTGAGTCGCAATTTCTTTTTTTTTTTCTTCTTTTGTCATCGTCATTCGTTGTTATTATTGCTTATCGCTTCGGCGTGATGCGACGATAGTTTCTCCGGAGCGAGTGACGATAACGGGGCCGTCGGAGGCCAAGGCCGAGGAAAAGGTGACCATCACCTGTACGACTGACATATCGAATCCGGCCTCGAAGATCAAGTGGGTCGTTGACAACCACAACTTCAACAGCAGCTTCTCCCAGATGCTGCCGGCACCCCAGGGTGGCTTCATCACCACCTCGAACATCACCTTTCAGATCAACAAGCAGGCCAAGAGCGCCGTGGTCGTATGCCTCGCCACCAACGACAAGCAGTCCGAGAACGTCGTCACCTCGCACAAGATCAACGTCATTTGTGAGCACACTGTTTTTTTTTTTTATTTTTTTTTTTTATTCCTCCTGTGTTGGGATATTATCGATTATTTCCTCTCCCTCCCACCTTCAAACTCCAAGCCACGCGCAGCTGCCGGAAACGGTACGTATGTATAGTGTACACGTAAAACTGACGTAGGCAATTTTTTTCCGCTCAGATCCTCCGTCGAGATTAGAGATTTCCGGCTACGAGCCGGGCACGAGCATCGTCGCGGGAACAATTCTGAGACTGTCCTGCACCGCAATATCGGGCAACCCCCTGGCGACCATAACGTGGTACAAGAACGACGTCAAGGTACGTACGAAGATAATCAATTGATTGGACTGCCTTTGCCCCTCGGCAATGGAATTTCTTTTTTTCTTTTTTTTTTCTCGCTTCGCTCAGGTTTCTCTATTAGTACAGCCTCGTTCGTTGCTCTGTCCGGCTAAAATGTGGCCGAGCTATTGGTCGAGTTTTCGTTTTTTGATCCATTATCGTTATTACATTCGTTATCTACTGCTGAACCATCAAAATGACAACTACATAGAGATGTTTAAAATGTAATAATACATACAGAACAAAAAAAGAACAACTATTCTTTGGTGCAAAGATATATTCTATTGTGTGCGAGACGCGAAAAGAACAGAAACAGATAATTAAGGCCACCGGAGGGCCCTCGATAGCTCGGCTTATGACAATCGGGTTAACAAATGTACAAAATAATTAGATGCCACGTCAAGGCTCGGCTGACATGATTATGCGTCACAATGAGGTCAATGTAAATAAAAAAAATTAAAAAAAAAAAAAAAAAAGGATACGGTTGTAAAAAATAAATAAATAAAAAAAAAAATAGATGAAGAAAAAAAACAATTGATCAATTGGTTAAGAGAGGTTTTATTGATTTGTCTCTCGACCGGGTGGCGATCACAGGTGACGGGCACGACGAGGACGCGCGATCACGCCATCACGAGCGAGCTCGCCCTCCACGTCAACGCTTCGGACAACAAGGCCAACATACGCTGCGAGGCGAGCAACTCTGCCACGCAGGTGCCCCTCGTCAAGACCCTCAATCTCAACGTCTACTGTGAGTACATCCACGAGTTTAATTACTTCATTTCAATTATTTTCGTCACACTTACTTGTGACTTGTGCATCGTATACACACCATGCATGAAAATTCAATTCACGTGTTTTTGGGGAACTTTTGACCACTCGCTCATTGCTTCTGTTAAAAGTAAAACTTTGAGATAATCATCCCGAATTTCAAACGATACCTCTAAAAAAAAAAAAAAAAAAAATTGCGCTTAGTCCTACCAGAGGTGATAAAGATAAGCAGCGAGCCGGCGGCGTTTCGCGTGGGCAAGCGGGGCAGGTTGGTGTGCGAGTCGACGAGCAGCAACCCCCCGGCCGAGATGTCGTGGTGGAAAGCCGGCAGCCCCGTCACCGGGACAACCAACGCGACCAAGAGCGGCCTCTACGGTGGCTTCATATCCACGGTCGAGCTCCCCCTCGAACTCACCGAGCAGATGAACGGCGAGGAGTTCACCTGCCAGGCGAAGAACCCCCAGATCGACCGGAGCGTCCACGACACCACTACCCTCAACATCCTGTGTGAGTATTCCATCATCCTGTTTTGGGGGGGGGAGGGGGTCATCGGGGAAGTGGTTCAGGCCGAGTGATTCATTGTCGTACTCCCAACAGACAAGCCGGTGTTCGAGAGCATCGAGCCGAACGAGCTGGTGGGCATGGAGGGCGAGCCATTCGTCGTATCGGTGTCGGCCCGTGCCAATCCGTCGGCTATAACGTACACCTGGACGAGGGACGGGATGCCGCTGGCCAAGAGCGCCAGCGCTGGTTTCCGGGTGTTGGCGCGCGGGCCCACCCTCAACGTGACGCGGCTCGAGCGCAGCGACGCCGGCACCTACAGCTGCGAGGCCATGAACGACGAGGGCACCACTTTTTATCAGTTGAATTTGACCGTTCAATGTAAGCCTCATGTAAGACGCTTGATCCCCCATTTATGTGCGATAGGTAGCTACCCATCATCATTATTTATTATTATTATTATTACTGTTTTCGTTTTCATTAACTCGTTTTGTTTTTTTCTCTCTCTCTCTCTGAGTGTGCGTGTTGTGTTACTTACTAATCGTTTCTCGGTTTCGTGTTTACGATTTTCGCTCACCTGCTCTTCGAAATTGGTGCACGGCCCCATTTTCAAATCGGCACATGGATTACCGCGAATAACCAATAACCAAATCGAGTGTTTTTGTTTTCAATTTCTCTTGTACTTCAACATTGAAAGTCCCCTCATAATCGCCCCTTGACGCCTACCTACGTCGCTAATCACACTTATACTAATCATAACTGTTAATCAGAGTTTTGTTTTGTTTTGTTTTTTCGTAAAAATTAACTGAGCCCGCACCCCTTTTTTGTTTTGCGAATAACCCCAAGTACATAAGTCACTGACCCACTGTCGAGGGGGAAATAAAGTTGTGAAAACCAAGAGAGGATTTTCATGATTTTTTTTCTTCTTCCCCCGAGCACTTGGCACGCTCTACCTTGGCGGCTTAAAGGTCGATCCACGTTGTTAAGAAAGAAATGATTGTGTTGCGACAGACCCGGCAAAGATAGTGCGCACCTCGGCGTCGGGCGTGATCTACCCGACGGGCCGCGAGGCCAAGCTGTTCTGCGAGGTCGAGGGCTCGCCGATCGGCGGGGAGTTCGTCACCTGGTACAAGGAGAGCGCGAACGTCGCCGAGCTCGGGGACCGGTACGCCTCGTACTTCTCCAACAACACGGCCTACCTCAGGATCAAGAGCCCCGGCCAGAAGGACGTGGGCGAGTACAGGTGCAACGTCAACAACGGCATCAGCAACGTCACCTCCGACCCCGTGCTCTTCATCACGAACTGTAAGCACGTCAACAAACTTTGGATTAGTGTTATAAAAACCACGATTGTTTCATTCATTGATGAACTTTGATTGTGCAGTCAAGCCGGAAATGGCCAACACGCCGCTGACCAAAAAGGCTGCCGTGAACAGCGGAGCAAAGGCCCAGCTGTACTGTAAGGCGCGGGGCTCGCCACTGCCGCACTTCACGTGGGTCTTTGGTGGTAAAACCATTATGGCCAACGTGACGGAGTACAAGTACGGGGTGACCTACACAAACGTAAGTATTTCACCACGGGCCATCCAATTGTACGTGAAAAATGTTAAGTATGAAAAAAAAAAAAAAAAAAAAAAAAATGATATCGTGCAGTTGTCGGAGCTGTACTCGCAGTCCGTCCTGACGATAAACAAGGTGGCCAACGCGGATTACGGGAAGTACGAGTGCATCGCCCAGAACAGCATGGGTAGCGCGAGCGAGACGATAGGATTGGACGTGACGTCGCAGCCGGACGAGCCGACCGACTTGGAGGCTGTCAACGTCACCCACGACAGCGTGACCTTGGTTTGGAGGCGGGGCTTCGACGGTGGTCTGCCCACGTCGCACCGGGTGCGTTGGCGCGAGGCCCGCGACGACGAGGAGAACTACCATTACCTCGACGTCTCGCCGGGCGTCTACCGGGCGGTCGTCGATCGATTGGCCCTCGGCACCTACTACGTCTTCAGCATCATGGCCAAGAACTCCAAGGGAGAGAGCCCCTATTTGCCCGACCTCCTCAAAGTCCAAACGCTACGTAAGTCGACCGTCTCTATAGTGCAGCGCTATTTCTTTTTTTATTTTCTTTTTNACCCGGGCAAGCTCTAATTAGCCGGGGGGTCGCGTTCATCTGTGGGACACTTTTTTTTTTTTTTTTTTTTTTTTGCAATGGCTTTTTGGTTTATGCCTCATTACGTTTGTGTTGTGGGATCGTGGTTTACTTTATTAGAAAACCGGATGCTAAGTTATCTGTTGTTTTCGATAGTTCACGTAGCTCATTTACATCCGTTTTTCAACCAAAGCTATCAAGTATTGGTAAACATTGGAAATTAGTAGATTATACTGTTGGCTACGTAGATCGATAAATATACTATAATTTTGATGATAATTTGAGAGGGTAATTTGTGGTTGCTTGTTTTTTTATTGCTTTAAATTTTTTAAATCAATGTATTCCACAAATGCTTTCTCACTTGATTTTTTGGAAAAAAAGTAATTTATAATTTTTTCAAGTACAAATTTGTTTTAAAACATAGAAACTGTAGAATTAGTACTGTAGAATTAAACTTGTAATAAAATAAATTTTTCTGGTAACACTGGGACATTTGGACGTAGTTACATATATATTTTATGTTTGCCGTTACAGATGAATTTATGTGTTTGCCATTTCCTCTCACAATTAGAATTTGTAAATAACCATTAATCAATTTGAATGTATACCTACGCGTTAAGTCAAATACCGCAAAATCACATCACACCTTCATACGTTTCGAGCACTCGAGTATTTTTGGTTAATCATTGTTTACTTTTTGTATAAAGTACCACGAAGCGTTATAAGCTAAATTGAATGTATAAAAAAAAAATGGGAGATAGGTATGTAATGATAATAATGCATGCAACGCATACACTAGGTGTTTTGGGTGACGGGGCCCTTTTTGCTTGGGTTGCAGGTGAAGCACCGCCCAACGAAATGATCATCAGCGAAATAAATTCCTCGTACATCATCGTAATAATCATCGCTGTATCCGCCTGTGCTTGTCTCCTCATTGCCACGCCCATATTCTATACCGCCTTTGTATCGAAAAAGAAGGCCCAGCGCTCTGGTAATTATTCATTGTTCTTTGCTTTTCTGTTTTTTGTCGGCCTACGCGACAATAGATCCGGACAGCGCCCAAAATCTGTCGACCGACGTGCTGAGGGAGCACAGCGAGAATCCCATGAAGTACATTTATCCGATAGCCGTCACCACGATCATCTTTTTTATTATTAATGTTGCCTTCATGTTGTGGTATATCGTGAAAAAGAAAAGCGCCGATCGTAAGTTTATTCAAACATCAACTCAATCCTATAGTTCTTCCAAAACTTTATTACTTCGACCAAAGCTTTTTTTTTTTTTTTTTTTTTTCTTCTTGTACCTTTTTTTCCACGGAACGAATAATGAATTGGTAATCGAATCCATAAATATCTTACACGTCACTTTGCACAATTTTTATTGAAAAAAAAAAAAAAATCTTTACAACTCGCACTTCGCGTCTTTCGCGAAAAGTTTATTCAATTATATAGTTGAGTTACCAGCAGAAATGGAGCGCAGTTATACATTGGGGGGGCTGGTGGCTTCGTTTCAGGCATAAACAAGTCGCAGACAGCGGACATGTACGCGCCGTCGACGGTGAACGGCGACACGATGACCGGAGAGCTGAGCTCAGTGTCCGACGAAAAGAGCGACGTCAACTTTGACGCTAACGATTACGTGGTCAGTGCGATCAGTCAATATGTTCTAAGTAACAAGTAACTCCGGAGGGTAGGTTTGAGTTCTGTTAAACCCTTTTCATTTACGTTCCTCAGTTATTGATTCTTGATCGCCCTTTTTTTCCCCACCGCCTCTTACCAAACGTTACATAGTTATGATCCATGCACTTTTTGCTTTTTTTTTCGTTATCACCTTATCCCTATGATTCCTTTTAAAACAATTTTTCTCTACCGCTTTACTACTCCTTGATTATATTTTTTTTTTGTCACAACCAAACGCTTAGATCCTCCGGGGGTTAGTTATAGGATTATATAATTTATCATGTAACATTACTTTTAACAGACTCAACGCTCGTTTTTTTCAATAACGTTGATCGAAAGGTTTTAATAAACAATGACGTATATTTAAAATTGCATTAAACTGCATGACTTTATCTTCAGATTAACTTTACTTATACATACATTATTGCCTCTGCACTTACGCCGGTGCAGTTATTATTAATAGTAAAAAAATAAAAAATAAGTACTCAAGTGGTGCTATCTTATTTAACATTTTCAATGTTATACGCTGATTGCCCTGAATGAATCGGTAGAAAAAATTATACAGGCACCATTGGGATTTTTTTTTCCATACGAGTTTTCTGAAATTTCAAAGACAATTCACAATTGTAATTTCAATTGCTATTGAAATTTTTGCCTGACTTTTCGCATACTTTTTCTGAAAATGTCTCAGTACAGTGCAGAGGCATTGATGTGAAAAATCAAATACGAGTGATTGAAGTAACTAATTATAATGTGTAAGACTAAAAGCTTAAACATAAAGGCAATTTCGAACGAGATGGTTAAGCATAAGTTATGGTCTCAGTACATGTAGCGTTCTCTCCGATTCGATTAAAAGATGAATCGAGAAAGGGAGGAATAGCTGAGATCGCACGTAGGTGTGTGTGTAAAAGTTTGTTTTTCCGATGTTCGGTGCAGGAAGAGGGACGCAAGACCGCGGCGAGCACCTACCTGATAGACCCGACGCTGCCGGACTACGGCAAGCCAAGCCTGGAGATGCAGGTGCACCAGCAGAGCACACTTAACAGGCGCAGCAATCACATACCCAGCATTCTGAGCATGGACTCGCCGCCCCAGCGGACCACGGCCAGTGGCACACTATCCGGTGGGTCACCCGTCGTAATCGCCGACGCGACCACTACTACCTCTACCACTACTACCACCACCACCACTACTACTACTACCACCACCACCACTACTACTTCTACTAGCGATACTACGTGCATCGACAGTCTGATGATGATGCCTAGGTGCTCGAAAAACCTCTCAAGATTTTACGTATATATATATATCGCTCTCTTGGTGTCTTCTCACGATGCGTTACTGGCCAGATCCCTATCATTATACCACCCACCACAACACGATGCAACCCCCCCCCCTCATTTTTTTCACTGCATACCACATTCACACAATCATCACGACTAAAGTACCTACAAGCTGTTTTGCATACCTGATTTTATTGGACCGGGCGCGGGATCATGGAAAAAGACTTAAAATTGGTTGTGGCTTGACTAATCGATACAATTGTTGGCACGAATCGCCAAAAAATCAAAAGTTGCGTCAACATGTTTTTTGGCATTTTTCGGCCTTTGTATGTACTCTACGAGAAATGCTTATAGAACTTAAATATTGAGTCCTTTGTTCAATGTTCTATAAGCAAGTGCTGCTTCGGTTACAAAAATTTTCATTTACTGTGTATGAATAAAATATTGGTTTTTCACGTAAAACTTTTGGAAGAATAATTGCGCAAAAACTGCATTAGTTTCATGATCCATTGCTTTGTCTATGTGGCTTACACACACATCCTTGAATGGCACTCCCTTTCACCGAGTTATCAGTGCTAGTGAGTTTCAAGCATATATTTTGCATTTATTTTCACGGAATGACGTGCCTGCGAGAAATCTTAGACTAGAAAACATTAACCAAGCATAGTAACAAACCTATACTTGATTTTTCAAAACTCATTCGCTTGGCATTTCATTGCAACGAGGAAAAGCTGCACAATGATATAAATTACACTATGTCTGCGTAGTGCGCCCAAATATTTATGACTTGTTCAGTATGCCGGTGGTATTAACGACACGAATGAAAGCTTCTTGTTATGGCATGACGCTGTGAGAGTACGATAACACGAACGTTTGACACTCGCTTGGTCTGGCCAGTTTTGCCCGTTTGCGTATCCCCGAGAATGCAACCGTTGACTCGATGTTTGCGTTTTGCCACGTCGACCTACTTCACTTAATTAACGAACACGACCTCTGGAGAAACTTGAAACACATAACGTGCACAGCATCAATTCAACAGTTCACCCTCACCCCAAGCCAAGTTAACAAAGTCTCGCGCAAATCGATGAGTTTTATTTTGTCTTGCTTGGATTCATTTTTATTTTCAGTCGCCTAATGTTATCCGCTCATGGTGTTTATTAGTAAATTATTCGTTAGCTAAGGGCTAACAAAAGCTTTAGCTATGATTAATTCAACACCGGTACGAGGAACAGCTCGGCCCGCGGTTCGTGAAATGCAGTGGCGTAACAAAGTTTACCGAGTCATGAAAAACTGTGTCGCGAAACGCTTTCGGAGAAATCTTTTTTCCCGACATTAAATTCAATCGTCCGAATCAAGGTCAAACAGAATCGAGTGGTGAATTAAATGGGCCGATTTTTCAAACGACGGGTAAATAATGAGCGAACGGAGCGAAAGTCAAGTGTCGATTCGTGACTCTTGGCCGTCCCAATCAGACTTTGCATCGCAAACAGAGCATGTCAGAGAGATAAATTGAACGGCCTGCTTCGTTACTTCTTACGTATTGTATACTGAGTGAAAAAAAAAAAAAAAAAAAAAAAAAATCAACAATGCATTGCGAGATATGGCAAAGAGAAGAGGCACGTGAGCTGATATATACATTACGCTTGTGAGGTTTTTACAATAGTTTTGCATGCCCTTATGTTTTTACCGAATTTTATTTCATCATCACGAGAACTGCTGTAAAAAATATACACACGAACCATCATTTTTTTTATTTTCCACCATGGCTGTGTGCGTGTGCGTATGCATTTTTTACGCAGCAGCTTATCCACATGGCACAATTTTATCGATGTAAAAAAAAAAAAAAAAAAAAAAAAAGTGTTTGAGTTTTATGGATCGAAAAACAAATGCTCTCTCGCGCAGTTGGAAACGCCCGTAAACGAAAACGTTTGATTGGATTAACGCTTTCATTAATTGTGCGAGCACGCAATGACGGGACGTTTTATTGAACGGGTCGGTCACGCGGAGGGATGATTTCCAACTGCGCGGAACAAAGCCGATTAGCATGTGTGTCATACATAAGTATACGAGCATATAATGTATATGTACGTGTGTAAAATAGATAGGCATGTGAGCCAACAATATCGAGCCCGTCCGATGATTGTTGCAGCTTCGAAGTCGAGCTACATCGGCAACCCGAGCCCTGCCCCACCCTCAGACGTAAATTTCTACAGCGTGGAAATGGAGAGCGGTCGCTTTATGGGATATGAGACGGAGCCGAGCCCGGTCCCAGCCTCGTCGATCCTCGAGGGCCCGGGCGCCTACTACCCATCCCTCAGCCCTGCCTCTGGCCACCACCTGCACCACCACCACCACCAGCAGCAGCAGCAGCAGCAGCACAGTCCACAGCCAGGTGGGGGACTACAGCAGCAACACCACCACCACCTGCACCAGTTTGCACCGCTCGGCAGTACCAGTCTCATCATAGGCTCCGGCAGCAACAGCCTACTGATGGGGGTGGGTTCGCTCGGCGGTTCCAGCAGCAGCGCCAGCGGCATGGGCACCCTGACCCGGAACAGCCGGACTCTGCCGCGGCCGGTGCCCCCCCCAGACGTCACTGTTATGACTGCCGGAACAAAGTCACCCCTTCCGCCGACGGTACCCCCCCCGCCCGCTACATTTGCACGTGCGGCCCCCATCCCCGGACATTCCCTCGGGCACCCACTGTCAACTTTCACATCGACGCCTCAGTACTCTGATATTGACGGGCACCTCGTCTGAGCTCGCCGGGCCACCGCTGAGCCCCTCCACCGCCACAACGACGAGGACTGCACCAGGCTCTGAATTCACCCAGCCTCCCTTCGGACTTTTATTTATTTCATCCAACTGCACGGCTACCGATTGGCTTGCCAACAGACATTCGTGCACTGCAGAGCTTCCTTTTCCCCGTCCCATCGCAGTTGCTATACAATCTTTACACTGTACAAAAATATGTAATCTGATCCCCGGCTAACGAGCGACAATTTTTACGCAACTTTACAATCGTATACCTTGGCCGATGGCCAACCATTCGATTAATCATTATGTCAATTCTGAGGGATTTACCTGTTCCCTGTGTGTATATTTATGCACCTTGTATACTTAATAACGATTGTACGCAACAATCGGAGGCTAAAATGTTGGTTGGTTGGTTTGGGACAAACACGGGCGTCGATGTCTTCGGTGAGTAAGTATGGGTGTATAATAAGGTGAATCAATCGGTAGAGCTGAATGAACTTTCTACGTGCACCCGATGGAAGAAAAAGTTAGTGGTGCCGTTTGGTCTCGAGGACAAGGTGCGCAAGAAATTAAAAAAAATAAAAACAAAAAAAAAACAAACAAAAGCATGGACGCCGCTATGTGATAATGTGTTATTATTGTGCTCTGGTGACTTTCGATTGTCTCTTGTACAGTGATAAGTGTGTTTGTGTGTGTAAATAAAAGCTGCGTTAATCGAAAGTAAGCGAGAGATCTTCTAGATTAAGGATTTCGTGTACACACGCCCATTGTACGTGAGAGCGATTTTCCGTAACCGATACTATTAAGTATACATTATTGTTTTTTTTTTTTTTTTTNATTGAGCGGTTGTTTGTCCCTTTATGTTTTCACGAAAGAAATTTGTCAGATCGATTCGGTACGTGCGAACGCTTCCACCTATGTGCCAATAAATTAAAATTATTTCAAAGAGGGAATAAACGTGACAAATCATTGGAGTTTTTTTTTTTTTTTTTTTTTGTAAGAAAATTCGTATCCTTTGATGATTTTTATCACGTGTAATATTGAATCGTATCCGATGGTTTTCAAATGCGATAATTATAATTTTAAGATGTTCGAGGGTTTGTTCCCTGACTCTGTTGAGCTTTGGATGAAGGAAAAATGGTAAATTTAAATAAGCAGATACACCGGGATGGTAGCATTTTTCGATGTCGCTTCCAAAAAAGTCAATATAATTATATTCTCACACTCTAAAGATAGAATTTAAGTACGACCGTACAGCGATATCCGACGTTTTTTCTTAAAGTAGAAAAAAAAATAAATAAACGAAATATTTCAAAGTTTGGAGTCTGCCTGCCTTTTTTACGTATTTAAAAGAGATGCGCGACAGTTTGAAAACATTAAACATCGAAAACGAGCTAAAGTATAATTGTAGTTTTATTAAAAGCAAATGGACATGAATCTGCCTTTTTAAAGTAATTAATTATTTTAAGTGTCCGTTGAAAAATCATTCGAAAGAGCATCCCCGTATATTTTTACGGAAATTTAAACAACGTACGTAAAATCTTCAAGTTTTACTCGGTACTTACATGTTTTATTTCTTCTACTTGAAAAAAAGTGAGTATTAATTCGATTGAACGTACGTTGAAAATCAATTATTATTTGACGGTACTTGTAAAAAATTTAATAAATAGGACTTGTTACTTGATTTATAAAAACGCAACGCTGCCAATACGAAATTTAAATGTGCGACAAACAAGGAATACAGTATTTCCTAAAACATCATTCGTAAATGTCTCTCAGCTGAGTGTCTATATGGATATACGTGTGTGCGCGCGAGTGCGTACGTATGTGTATTTTTTGCATGTATTTTCCTTAAAATTGGTCGTTCTTGTAAATAGATATGAATCACAAATGCAAAGTCTTTATTCCTACGAATTCACATGAACAAGCGACTTGAAAAATCATTTAAAAATGGATTATATGAGGGTCTCACAACATACCGTAGGCTAAATAATAAAAAAAATAATAATAATTAGGCATAGAGCATCAAAGACTAAAGAAAAATAATAATAATAATTAATGAAAGAAGAGAGAAAACTCGGATTATACTCGTTGTCGCGAGACTGAGGACAATGAAAAATCCGCGACCATTTGCTTTTCAGTTCCCGTCAAAAGCTTAAGTAGTTGGTGTATATTATATTTTTTTAACTAAAATTAGAAGAAAAAAAACGACGAAAGATGTATTTGTGATAACGAGAAGGAACGTGAAAATTTTTAAATGTACGTTTTTTGGCCTACCGTGTATAATTATATGAACTTGTAAAAATACTGTTTTGCTGCTTTAACGTGCGACACCTGATGTTTTTCTTATTATCATCAAAATAGGTTAACAAAAAATTAAAGAAAAAAAAAAAAATCATTTTCCATGAACACTTTAAGAGTTTCTTTACGTTACATTATATATTAAATGTAATAAAGTGTCGCACGTCAAATGCACCGTGTTATTGACAAAGAAAGTTTTACGAAACGTTTGAGTAGCATACTATTGCCATTGTTGAATTGATTATTACAATGATTTGTTACGACGATAGCCAAAGTCTGCGGAGTTGACGAACAAATGCGTTAAACGATGTGACGCGAAATAAAGTAAGGCAATTGTTATTGTGTTTCTGTATGAAGTCGAGAAAAACGGCTTTGACTGATGATGCTTGCATACGGAAGATAATTGAAACCAATGTAACGAATGAATTGATATGCTTAAACGTTTGCGCATAATTAAATGGTTCTATTTACATACTCATGTTTTATATTTGTAATTAACGAATTATCTATTATCTTTAATATTACCTGAAAGAGAAGGAAAAGAAAAAAAAAAAAAAGAAAAAGAGACAGTTTTAAGACTATGCAACCTCCAAGTAAATCTTCAATAAAGCAATGGAGTAACGTTCGATCGATGATTAAAAGTCCCACAGAGAAAATAAATGATGACGAGAAGGAACAATTTTTTTTCCTACTATTTACGCCCAACAATATTATCAACTGCCATTGATAGATGTTTTAAGTCTGGTTAGAAAAGTATTGAGATATAATTTTTTGAGTCATGACGAAAAACTTTAAATCATCAGAAGGTTAAAAACAAAAAGAGGAATTGACATGATAAAAGTATAAAGATTTTTTTTCTCTGTGAGACACGATTGGTGTATCGGTTAAGAAGGAGTAGGATATTCGTCCACAAAATAGTACCTTGGAGATGGACACACCATCTAAAGTAAGAAGGCGCAATATTTGATATTTTATACGATAAACGAAAGAGAACTAAATAATAATAATAATAATAATAATAATAATTTCATTGATTATTCTAAGGCATAGTCAATCCTAATTATATACAATCATTAAGATAACACGAGAGTGGACGCGTGAAACGATGAGCTGGGTAAGAGATGAATGCGTGGGTAACTTTTAACTGTGTAAATAATGTAAATAAAAATGATGATTAGATAGGTGATAAAAAGTGAAACGATATCAAGAGATCAAAGGAAATTGATAGAAAGGCGTGGAGAGTGAAAATTGAGAGCTTTTCAATATAGGTCGTCGATGTTTCCATCGCACATACATACTCACACCATGTATTTTCGCGTGTTTCCTTCAATAAAAAAAAAAAAAAAAAAGAAAAAAAATTAACTCATCGTAAAATGGTGGTGGTCCTTTTTCACACAAATTCATACAAAATCATTGATATTACATGTTATTGAATCGTCATTACATAAAGAATATACGATCGAACATATGCACGAGCGAGCGCGATTATTGAAATGTGTAAGAGTTTTTCCATTTTTTTTTTTCTAAGCAAATTTTTTTCTCTGATAGAAAATTTTTTACTTACTAATAAATTACGCTCGAAGATTAATGGTTTGTCAAATTGATCATCTGCATAGAATTTAAATTTATCAGTGCAGTAAATGAGTTCATTGTACTTACAACATATGCATAAATACTTGGTTGAAAAAAAAAAAATAATAATCATCAATTTGACAAATCAGATGGAGCGAAAAATTATTGAGCGGTTGTTTGTCCCTTTATGTTTTCACGAAAGAAATTTGTCAGATCGATTCGGTACGTGCGAACGCTTCCACCTATGTGCCAATAAATTAAATAAATGTTTTTCGATGTGTAATATAAAAAAATAAAAAAATAAAAAACTGAAATAAAACGCGAATTTGCGCAGCCAACTCGCATTCAAACTCGTTTATATCCATAAGTATTATACATGTAAACAAAGTTTTTAAAAATGTAAATCTTCCGTCTTAATTAAGGAAATTAAAAGGAAAAAAAATAAAATAAAAATACTAATATGAATGGAAATGTAATAATTCTAAGAAAACCACCGTACTTGACAATTTAAAACATTTCGAGAGAGCGCAAGAAGAAAAAAAAAAAAAAACAAGTGTAGGAAGGTAAAAGCTCTCTGATATGATGAATAACTTGTATGATAATATTTAAAAAAATAACCGTGCATCTATTATTGTACATATATATAGTATTTTTACATTAACATTCTAAATTCCATTTCAAATTCTAAATGGTACGCTTCGTCTGTCATCCTTGCATTGGGCTGTATAAAATAACGAAATGAGCGTTTTTTTGTGTTTTTCCCTTGAAAAAAAAAGTCATTATTCTTACTTTTATTTTTATATCGTAATAACTAATCATTACCGGATTAATATTTAAATCATACGTTACGTTTATTATACACTAAGTAACAAAATATCCATCTGGTTAGATGCTAAGCTGTTACTCGATATTCTCATTCGTATGATTATATACTTATTCGTATTATTAAACTGACAAATTAAACTCTTTGTTTAATTTTAAATTGGTTGGATCAGCGGATCTTTCTTACTGTTTTTTTCCGAATAACTTGAAACTTGTGTGACATGTTTCGTTGTGCCGGAACTGTAAGGACATAAAATCCTTCTTTTTTTGTTTTCTTTTTGTATGAAAATTCAAGTTGTAATCACAGAAAAAATGCACGAAGGCAGAGTGAAGCTTGACTAGTCCTTAATTGAAAACCAAAGTACGACGAAAAAATTACATATATAGCTTTTAAGCGAATCTCAGGTTAATGAAAGAGGTAAAAAACAAAATAATTAAACAAGATATAAAAAAAAACACGAGAGGAATCAAAGAATGAAGGGAACGATAAGACGTAACTGTCTGCACTGATGAGAAAACAGTAAAAAAAAAGAGAGGAATT